CTCCCTGGTGATGACCCCTTCTTTCCATTGGGTGTAAGAGCCCCTGCTCAGGCAAAAACCAATTGCTGCGGGTGCGTGCAGAGGTCGCAGCCGCTCTGACGGCGTCGGCCCTGCGTGCTCAGCATCCGCTTGCTATTACTGGCGACCGCCCCCTCCTTGTGCCCGCTCGCCCCCGGGAGCTCCGGGTGGAGGGCGCTCGGTGTCGCGCGCCTCAGCCTCCCGCACAGCCGGCCCGGCTGCAGATTGCAAGCATCTCCTGAGTTGCCATGGATACCTGCGCCGTGCAGCTGCAGGCAGGGAGGCTTTGCCACGGGGAAGGCCTGCCAGCATCCCAGACTCGAGGCGGGTGCCACGGGGAGCAGACACACGTCGCTGACGCCCGAGGACGAGCACCGGTGAGTCTCGGCGTCGCCGTTGCCGCCCGCCTGCAGCCCGAGCTGCCCCCCGAACACCGGGACTGCCCCCGTGCCACGCAAGCCGCAGCGGTGACGCGCACGCCCGGGGCCTGAACGTCGCTGGTTCTGTTCCTAAAAGCTGCGCCGGACTCGCCCCCTTTCTGGAGACTGCTTGCTCCCTCCTCTGCGGGCATTTCATGGTGATGACGACGGGGGCTCTGGCCTGACCAAATCCACCCGCGTGTAAAATAACAGCACGGTTTGCCACCACCCTGGACCGCGGACCTCCGCTCGCACCGAGGGCCGGATCCTGCCCCCGAGGCGCAACCGGCCTCAGCCCCGCCACGCAGCGCGGGTTTCTCCCCGGGGGACAGCCGCGGCCGAAGCCCTAAATCCCCGCTGGCCCCACGGGTTCAGGGGCCGCTCGTGGGGGGGTCCGTGGCCGGCCGCCTCCGCGTTTCGGGCAGCCAGGCCAGGGCCGCGGTAGATTCACGCAGGGCCTCCGCGCGGGGCCGCGGGAGCCTGGCTGGCGGGGCGAGGGGGGTCCCCCCCGGCTCCGGGCGGGGGCTCCCACCCAGACTCTGCTGCGGCCCCGTCCCGTGCGAGGA